CGCTCTTCCTAATGCAGCCCAGGAGACCCTTGGCCTTCTTGGCCACAAGGGCACATTGCTGGCTCATGCTCAACTTGTTGTCCACCAGGACCCCCAGGTCCTTCTCTGCAGAGCTGCTTTCTAGCAGGTCAGCCCCCTATATTTCCACTTGTGAGTGGCAGAAAGACCATAAGGAGAGCAAAATGTGGGCTTTTTGCCAGCATTATTAATGGGCCCACCAGAATGCAATGGTGTGAAAGATGATTTTAAGAGCAAGTCAATGATGAGAATTGCTGTGCGGTAAGAAAACAGCCTGGAAAACAGATAGAAATACTTGGTAGCAAGTGGGAGCCCTGACCACTGTCACTGTGCAGTCTCAATCTGCTTGAAATAATGCTTTTGATGGCACTAAAATAGTAATGTAGCTTGTAGTCTGGGAAAATATGCCCAATTACTATATCGTTTGACCATTTATTCTTTAACAAAATGTGTTTGTTTTGTAACTGTGTACAGTTGAGCATTTTTGCATCAACTCCTCTCTCTTTTCTTAATTTTCCTCTCCTGAATACGTCTGAATGTCCCTTCCCACAGGACTGTGTAGCAATCAGATTTACCATACACTGGACATAAGCACAGGGGAGCTTTAGAAAATATACCATATTTTGGCTGCACACAGAGCACAGCAAGAAAATGAAGTAATCTATGAAGTGTTAGGAAAACCTGCTCCAGAGATAGGTTTTCCTCTTTCCACAGAGCTGGACTGTGTTGCTAAAGTAATGGCTCAGTTCACAGAAGCCTCCAAAGCCCCAGTGCCAGATAAAAAAAGAGACATAATCAGCAAATACAACTGCACTAAAACCATGAGCCTGCTGAAGTTTTGCTGCTGGCTCTGTCATGGAAGCGAGCCCACCACAGGTTCATCATGGGCATTGAGTGTCAGTAGAGGAAATGAAAAAGGAGAGCAATAGAGAGCGCAGCTAAGATGGAATACAGCAGGCTAGTCAAAAATAACATTTAGATTTAATAGAACTGTGCTGTCAGCTGCAGTTAATAATTGCTAACTAACTACACCACCATCTTCTGTCTGGAAAGGGCTAAAACATCTGGTATTTGGAACAGAGCCTCTTTGAACAGTTGGATGCATCCTGCCCTGCAGAAGTGCAGAGTAATAGAGGATGGCTTTGAGTCACTATCGTTTGCAGAGAACTGTGTTTTCTGACCTTTCTTCTAAAATTAAAGCGCTCGTTCTCTGTAAGACTGTGGAAACTGGACATTACTTAATGCCCTTGCTGAGAAATAGACAAAAGAAAATACTTCTAGCAAGTCTGAGGCTGCAGTTACTTTTTGTCTGTGAAATTTTCTTAAAATATATCAAAGGAGGAAAACTTACGATCCTGAGCCTAAATATGTCTACCCAAAGACAGGCCCAGGCAGATCACATCTTCTGCTAAGGAACGCTTGTAAAACTTCTGTCAAGGTGTGTAGCAGCTCTGGCCTTGAAGTAGCTATGCCAGCTGTCCTTGCTGGAGACCTATGGCTTTCTTATCTGTTTGAATTTTCATAATAATCATCCAGACTGCTGCAAATTATAGAGACCTTGAGTCATCATTAAATAATTTTGTTTTCTTCATCAAAGAGACGCCTATACAATAGCTAGCTCAGCAGCTGACTTGTGTTTAGAAAGATTTTCCCCAAGCAGTTCTTTATGATTAGCATATAAATAAGCAAATCAGGTTATCAGTAATCAAAAGAGATCATCGACTTGCAGTTTTTGGTAGACCCTCCACCTAGCGTATTTATGCTGGATAGCTATCTCACTCTGGAGCCAAAACCACAAGTCCTCAAGACAGTCAGAGTCCTACAGCTAATGTGTATTTTTCCACCTGTATTATGGCAATATGTAGAGAGAAGTTGTCTTTACCTGTCCTCCTCAGGAGAGCTAAATATAGAAAAAAACAACAACAACAAAAAAAAACACAACAAAACCTGTTAAAACAATTTTATCTTTTCCATTAAGTCTTCTAACGTAGCGTATACCAAAATTGCCATGGTATTCTACAGGACACACGAATTTGAAGATGCATAGAGAAAAATGCTTATAAATTGCATAGTTACTCTGTTAATAACAAACTATGTTCTACTCTCACTGAACTAAGTGAAATATTTAGTACTGATCGCTAGAAATCAGCAGAGTAGAGCCATCTCATCTTTTTGCAAATAACGCAGTTAAATTACTGTCAGTGCCAAGAGAATCAAGGCTCACTAATTCTACCTGAAGATTAGTTTGTAAACACATCTTCCATCAGACACAACAGAGCACAGCGAGGCGCTCTGGTATTTTGCCAGAAATATCAACCTTTTATTTTGCTGTTGAAGCAAAGCTGAGAGCTTGCAAAAGATACTAGGCTGCAAATAATGAGATGGAAGGGTTTGCTACCTCCCAGGCAGAGCTTTGGCAGGCTTTCCCATGTCGCTACACCAGTTTGCTGTGGTGTTAGCCACAAGTGAAAGTGGGAACTGAAAAGTCAAGCCTGCCTCTGTGCTTCTGCAAGGACTGAAGTTTCTCTTGATGAGGCAGGTATACCTGTTTTGTACCTATGACCCAAACTACCAGATGAGATAATTATATTCTATTAGCAGGCCCCAAAAAGTGGAGTTTGTCACTACGTTTAGGTGAATAGCACCAGGAACATTTCTGCCACGTTCTTTCGAACAGTGCATCATTTCATTCCTATACCATTCTTTTCTGGTACCTCCGACAACATTGTTTGAACAGTCTCACGCCTCCAGGTATGATATTTCATCCTTGTCACCTGCGAGGAACTGAAGCATGAAGACGACAAACAGTTTGCCTGTAATGATTAAGTATTTCATGGCTAAGCCAGAAACTGAACCTAGTCTAGAGCTACGACTATAAAATCTACCTTTCTCCCTATAGCTGCTTTGTTATCTGCATGTATTCTAGCAAGAATACATGCAGATATTGCCTGGAACATTCTAATAAATACAGACTACTAATTCTCAGGGAAGACACAATTCAGGTTCGCTCCTATGCAGCCTCACTGGGTTCTGAAGGTTATGTCCAATCCATTCAAGAAGGAGAATCAAGAGTTTGTGATCCATGAATCCCAAACGTCAGACATCAGATATTTGATGTAGAATACTCAGGATCCATTACTATCCTAAATTAATTTAAGGCGTCATTCTGAATCCCAAAGTAATTTGAGGAAACTAACCTTTTTCAACAATATTCATCAGAATGAAGAGAGTTAACACATTGTAAATAATTTTGAAAAACTATCCACCCATATTTGCTTGGATCAAAGGGAGAAAGACCTTTACATATCTCAAATGCTAACCTTTTGAGTCATTCCAAATTAACGTTAGAAGTTGGAAAGAAATTTAAGTACACATTTTTCCAAGAGTTTTTGTGTTCTTCACTGTTTAATACCATGACACGTCAACAGTATTGAGGAACTAACAGATACTGATTTTATATTATAAAAGAACTCTTTTCATTTTAAGACAGAGTCTTAAATAAGAGTGCCTTGCCTTAAAAATCAAGGCAGGAATATCATGCAAGATACTCTGATGGATGCCAGAAGCAGAAAAGAAACAACACAGTTCTGAATTTCTCTTTTAACCTCTGTATATATGTGTATATAGGTAACAGTGTGGAAGTATTTGTCATTTGGTTAACACATCCTAGGAGCTCCTGTGTACGTTTGAGGTTCTATCAATTGTGAGGCACTATCGCAAGTAATTTTCAATCACTGCATATGCATCCATTCAGAGAACATTATTGCTAGGATGGACGCATTTTTAATGCATATTTTATTATATCTTTTTACCTGTATTCCAGTACATGGATGTTTTTGTATCCAGGTAATCCTTCAAATGCCTTTTGGATCTATTTTGATTAAAAAACAACAACAAAAAAAATTAACCTAGATGTCCCCTCTCCTACTCACTGCAGTGAAAAGACAGGAAGTATTTTCAACTTTTTCTAGAAGGAAAAAAAAAAGCCTCTGAACTGTTATTTCTAACAGGGGAAAATGCTTGAATAATCTCTTTGTGGAGGAAGAGTTTTGGTGGCATCTTTTCAGTACTATAAAGGTAAAAGAGAAAGTATGAGGTACAACATCCCCCAAGACTTCTATAGAAACATTCAGTGAGGGGAAAATTCAAATGGACGCTGCAGAGATCTGCACTGCCCATACCAGCCACCTTCCTCTCTCTTATTCATGCAGCACAAACCCTTCTCTGGCCAAAAGGTTTCCATTACCTCCCAAACCTCTTTGCGTTAAAACGAATTCATGAAAAACTATTTGGAATTTAGCAACCTAAATGAGAGGAAGCTGCGATGGCTGCCTCAGCGACAGAGACCTCCTAGGCTCCAGGGAGGCACTAACGTGTTAGGCAGTACAGAACACAGCTCATCTGAGCTGCCCTAAGTGGCAATATAGAAGGGGTTGGCAGCATTGCTCAGGAAGAAATCTAGGGGCAGCAAAATGGTAGCACATTCAGGCCTAGTTCAATAATCAACTGTGTCGCACAAGACATAAGAAATAAAATATTGCAGGTTCACTCCGCTTTTGTTTTTTTCTTCCCAAAAATTCTTGCCATTTGGGGATTATTTTTTACTCCTCAAATTCTCCTTTCCCTCCACAATCTCCCTATTTTTAAACTGTCTCTGGTGAGACTTAAACAATCTGAGTGCTGCCGACTTCTTTTTTTTCCTGTTTTTTTTTCTTCTCCAAGAGCTTCTTTATCCAAGCACAGAGAAAACTAGGCAAGGGATCAAAGGAGTGGAACATCCGTGTGCCAGGTGGACTCCATCCCATCTGACATTTCTTCCACACACACACACTATGGCATTGCTACTTGGCCACACAGCTAGGAAAATTAAGATGTCTAGTCTACACTAGCAACTTATGACAGTTGTAGTGATGCTTTTTGGCTACAGCGAAGAGTACATCTATTTCCCATCTGGCCCAGGATCTGGCGCAGGGTTAGCCCCCGTGAAAGGGATTCAGAGTTTGCCAAGGAGAACCCCAAGTAAATGAGACTAAGAAAGGAAGAAAACTAAAGAAAAGATGACCCCCAACATGTGCTGTCATATGGCCCCCCAGAGACGTAACAGATGCCTCTCCCAAGAAGGAAAGACGAGCTCTCTGCCCCAAGAAAATCAACGGCAATAAAATACAGGGAAACGACAGGGAGAGGAAAGTTAGGCGACAGTCACTTGATCATATTTTAAGTAGGCATTTATATATTCGTGGGGCAATAATTTTATTTGTAGCATATAAGTGAAAGCATATTAAACTTTGATTAAAATTAAATTAACTTTAAAATAAATTCTAATAAATCATGTATGAGATATATAAATAAGAATAAGTATTTATATGCACACATGGTTTGGGTTTAAAAAACATTTTTTTTGTTTGTTTTGTAAGTTGGTGACTAACAGTCTAACTGTGCTTCATTCCCACTGACTTCAGTGGGATTTAGGCAAGGGTTTAAGAACTTTTCTGCAGGGTTGCAGGGTTTTAAAACATGCTCATATGCACTGCTAATTCTAGGCATAAAAGAGGAGCAAGTGTTGTCTTGGCAGCCTTGATTTCAGAGAGTATCTCACTCAAGTGGGCAATGATTCATTCAAAGAAATGCCACTCCAGAGGAAAAGTAATGAACAAATTCTGTTGTTCATGACTTTTTTTTTACCTCCCCCACTTTTAACCTACTCTCTGTAGAGAGTCTCTACTACAATTGTCTCTGCTACGGTCCAAAACCCGGACACTTCTTGTATTCATTAAGACTTTCCAAATTTCACTTCAGTGCTCAGCTTTGGTAGGAGATCCAGAACATGCCCACGTGGGCAGACCCAGGTAGACCTGTACGCCTTCTGCCTGCACTCCACATTAGTGCTGTGCTGTACTGTACCTCAGCTACCAAAGCAGCCTCCTGCCACTGCACCACCACAGGCTGGTGGCTCTGAACCGCAGCTGACTCGTATCCTGCCATTTGAGAGCATGGGCAGGCTGGTCAGCCAAGACCTTCCAATTATCTTTGCCACTCCCCGGTTTCAAACCAGCTACCGTATGGAAGAATTCAAATCTGGACAGTGAGCTTAGAAAGCTTTGAAAAAACTTTAGGCAGGCTGGCCACTAAAGAGATGTTAAGTATACCTTGAAATAGAAGTTTTCCAAGATGTGAAACTTTAAGAGCTAATGAAGTTCCATCAAGAGGCAAACAAGATTCCTGTCACTTACTTCTCTGTGACACCTTTAAGCCCTGTGTCTGTGATGCTGACAGGGAGAGCTACTGAAAAATTCAAAAAGGACAGTAAGGCCAAAGTTAGTCCTGTTAACAATAAATAATTAAAAGGACTAAAAGAAGTGCAGTTGTATTTTATTTATTAATAACATCTGGCTTAGTTCCTTTTGCTAATATGAAGCAAAGTAAAAGAATGAAAGCAGAACAGGAAACAGTGACCCTCAGAAAGGTTCCCCATTCTGAGTATGTCCCCGCTCAAGGGTTCAACATAATTTTTTGATTTCCACAAAAGCACGCTTCTACCTCTTTTCCCTGCAAAAATGATAGTGCACTATTTCATAATAAAGAAAAGGAGGGAACTAGAGTAACTGCTGTTTGGCAACTGGTATGCTACACACAACACATGGCGCACAACTCCACTACTTCAGAAAGGTAGCACGTCAGACAAAACAGGATATTCTCATAGTGGATGAATCTTTTCCAGCCTGCCTTAGGCAACAAAAACCCTAAGTTGGTTCTGCAGAGCCCCTGAGAAAAAAAGTCAGTCCTAACACAGATGCTGTGTGCTACCACTGCTTTGCGGAGCCAGCAAAAAGACGACGACAGGGAAGGGGAATCACCTGTGCAATGAATTGTTCGGAGAGCAGCTGATATTTCACGGTGGCTGGGTCACTCAGCTCCTCACTGTACTTCTCTCCAACGATCATGATGCTGAACTCAATGATCTGCTCAGTTACAGGTTTCAGTAGCTGCTCATCCTCCTTCTTTATCTCATTATTGGTCTGGAGAGGAAGGGGAAAGGGTGAAGACAGGAGATGATTTTGTGCCTTTTAGGTTTGTTTGGCGCTTTGTTTTTTGGTTCCCCCTCCCCCTCCCCCCCCCGAAATAAATTGTTACTCATTACAGACCATAATCCTACATATCCTGGGTTTATGCCATATGAAAGGAATGTAAAAAGCATCCCAGATGTCTACATGTACATACAAGCTGCCATCATCTGTCAGCACACTGCATTCCTCAGCATGGGTCCAAACACATTCGTACGTGGGCTAGAAACTTCTCCAGCCCCTGGTGACCTGGAGGTTTCTGTGGCCCATGATGTGAGAGATAAATGCCATATGGATAGGAACACATCAGGGCACTACTGGTGGGCCACAAAGATGGTCATGGATATAGCCAATGACATGTGAAAACTGCAGCTCAAAGCACAGTACATTACCTGAGCCATGAGCCTACCTGTTTGCCTTGCACTGTAACAGAGGGCTCACGAATCCTCAGGGACAGAAACGGCAACTAATGAGGCAGTTTATTAAGAGAGCAAACTTTTGACTACTGCTTTGTTACTGGAAATCCTATTTTCCATTTGCACATCTTCCATCTAGCCCAAGGCACATCTAGCTGACCACAGCTACAAACAGAAATTCAGCTGTGTGGGGTGTTCACAAGACAAATTTCTTGAAGTGTAACACCAACAGCTCACATGAGCCCAGTCAGCAGTATAGGCACCCATTTACCACAAGGCTCCTAATTATTATTCCACTCGGAATGCATTCAGAACAATAAGCTGTGTAGTTCAGCTTGAGTAATCAAGGATCCCAGGAGGTACACTGTGGTCGTCAGGAGATCTGCAGGGACCTCTGCAAAGCTAAACTGCTGGACTGTAATTGATAGGTCTGCAGTCACCCAAGGAACCCTGCCAGCAGTGGCTTGCAACCTAGCATGGGAGCTTGGAGGTATCACAGCTGCCTTGGGCAGCAGTGATTTCCGGTCCAATTTTAATCTAAGTTGAGTGAGCAGGAGGACATGAAGAGCACCTGCTTAGCTCCCTACTAATTTACAACCAATTCCCTATTTCTTCTGGTGTACTGAAAGACATGAGAAAAAAAGATCTAGTTTCGTGGTTTTGTTCTGGAACAAAATTTTTGGATATTTGGGGAGGGAGGGGTTGGCTTAAGTTAAATAACAAGTCTTTTGCTATTTACATGTGATTATTGTCTTTTTCCCTATTAAAAAGAAAAAGGAGCCAAAAACCCAGACCTTTCTGGCAAAACTGCAACCTGTGCTATGTATGGTGTGGGAAACAGGAAAACCTTTCTCCAAATAGCTTAGCTGCCATCAGTGAGTGACTGACTTACTGTATAGGGCCCCTCTATGTATTTTTAGTTAAATTCTCTTCCTCCCCCACCCCTTTTTGATCGGGTAACTTTGCTGAGGTCTAGAATGAGTTGTATACCACCTAAAGCTAGCTGGCATTTGACAGCTATATACTTATAAGGAAAATATATGCTGTTTCTACGTAGCTCTTTACAGCTCAGCGTAGTTTGAATCACACGTCAGTCCCCCCAAAATAAAGGTACAGTCAACATGTGAATGCAGAAGATGAGCTTTGCTAGCTCTTGGTCTTGTAATTCACAGCACATTTTGGCTGTACAGAGCCATGATGAGGTGTGATACAACTGTATAAAGAGTGAAAATACTGTTGCAGCAGCAGCAGCAGTTGAATGCTAGTTTCTTTCTGATTTACTGAGTAGTCTCTGCTCAGGCAGAAATATTCCAGGCAGTTCTGTGTCAAAAAAGAATAATGGTCTACATGGGACCAAACCACAAGTGTTCTTGGTCCATAACATAAAATCAGAGCTACGACAAACTCCTGGACTTGAGTCAGAAGTTGTCTGCGTGTTTCATATTGAGTGTTTATTCTTGGAAGCACAACACCAGAGTTCCACGGTCAGCCCTGAAAGCTCTAGAAGAAAGTACAGAGCTTGGCCTGGCTTTGTTTCGTGGCCCTACGAGGTTACCGAACTCTGCACAGTTAAACCCAGTACCACAAATCAGCTTCTGCTCATACGCAGCACCTGCAACTTTGTAAGCTTCTCAAGAAATCCACTGAGAGTTTCATGTTTATAAGAAAACAAAAGCCAGCTGATTCCTATCACTGGTTTGCAAAATTTTCTTCAATGGTCATGTAGGCCAACATATACTAGAGTTGGAATCTAGCGTTTAGGGTTAATTTTTAGTCCAAAGGAGCTGTCTCCTGGAACCAGATATTTCCCTGGGACCTGTGTGGTGTGTGGTGGTCAGCACTTCTGAAAGTCAGTTCACTTTTACAGTGGCATTTAAGTACTTGCCGTAGGCCTTCCTGTGTGGAGAGTTTTGCTGCTTACCACAGTGAGGGTGATTGTAAGATTATAAATAAAAATCCATACATGTTGACCAGGGGAAAGGAGCAGAGAACTGGAAGGAACCTTGAGGGCTATCCAGGCCACCTCTCAGCTGTCCTCGGCAATTGTACCACGTGGACACTTGCAGCATTACTACAGCAATGTAAAGTGTATTGTGTTTCCACAGGAATAATGCTCCACATTCTTCTTCGAGCTTTCAAAAAGCCCTAGGCGTTCACTGTCTTGCCCTGAATCACTATCAAAATCTGCACTTGTTAGCTCAACTGTTCCATTCTCTCTCTCTGTGGGGGTGGCTGCACTGCAAAGCCACTGCAAATCAAAGAATACCCACCCAGGAAGTTATTTTAAAACTTTCTAAAGGTCATGCCCAGGTTCTAAGAAATCCTAATCTGTGTTAGTACACTATGCCAACAACGCCTTTAAGTTCAAGGAAATGCAAATGTCCATAAATTGTATCATTTAGGAAAGGCAACAGAATGCTGAACCAAAGGAAGAAGCCACTCACAGCAGTGTCTGTGTCTTGGATCTCACGGACGGTACTGCCCGAAGGACTCTCAATGGAGACCCCATGAGGGGGAGGAACGTTGGCAGCTGCATCTGAGTTTGAAAGAGAATAGTATTTTTTTTTAACCCGCACACATGTATTTAGATGCATGAGCAGTCCAGCAAATGTAAGCTAACTAACAATAACACGTGATTCCTCCTCTCACCATCAAGACAGAAACAACACAGGAAGAGCACCTGAAACAGAAACAACACCTGAGGAGCCTAAGGAAAAGTAGCTAATACACTAATCAGAACCAATTTGTCTAAGCAGGTGTTGTATTTTTGGGAACATAAAGCAAGTCCAGTAAAAAAAAGGTGTGTAGAAATAATTTCTCTAGTAGGATTTTCATGATTCATTTGATAACCTAATAACGTCAGCCCAAAACATGATCTCCAAATCACAACCAGGATTACTTGGAGGTGGAAAAAGTCATGACTCTTTCTCAAAACCACAAGCCATCAAGTTTCTCAATTTGTTATTAATTCAGAATCAGCCTGCACAGCAGTCAGATGAGAACTGACCTCTCCATGTGGTAACATCAATAGTTGAAGCTGGAGTTGGAGTCCCAGTACTGTTAAATAAAAAAAAGAAAAAAAAATCAGAAATTGAAGTTGGACATAGTGAGATAGATGTTTTAGTTTTTGATTTACACGTGGTTCTACTGCCACACCAAAAAGCACGTTTGCAGAATAAATTTGTCATGGTACTACTTTGCTGATATCTTTATAAACGGTATACGGCTTCACGGTATTTCAGTGGTCCACAGCAATTTAGATAACAGGTCACCACTGCCTCTCCACTACGCGTCCTGTGCCTCTGCAGGGACACTAACCCCCTCATATTCCAGCTGACTTGGGGGTCACACAAGTAATTACATTTGGCCTTCCCGCAGTTCTGCAAATCCAGCAAGTGTGAAGACCACAGAAGTAAAACACAAAAATACTTGCAATATTCCATAAAACGCTCAGATTTAAAAACACTCTACAGAGCGCTAAAAATGCTCATAACTACTGAAGTCACTACTAGAAGATGGGTCCTTTTTTACCACAACTTTTACCGTGCTTATTTGGAGATCTCCGAAAGGCATCAGTTTCAAAACTCAACTACTGCATTCACACACACAGAACACCTCTAGGCCAATTGTGAAGAAGAAAAACATTGCAGACACCATCAGATGGAAACTGTCAGTCTGAAGAGAAACCAACAGCTTTGACTTGACTTTAACAGTAAACTTAAGCTTCTTAGGACCAAACCTGTGAGTCCTGAGCAACTTTAAGTTACCAAGAGCGGGAGACATGCTCTGACAGAACCAGTTCCTTCCTGAAGGGAGAAAAATTGACTTTTCAGGTTTGCCCTATTTTTAATACATACAGCCCAATCTGTAAGACTGGAAACTTAAGTGCTGCAGAGAAAGCAAACACTAAACTTGAACCTCAGAAAATCATTGAAGTTCACTGCATTAAGGTATTTCTCTCATTCCTAAAGAAACTCCTTTTTTATTGGTTGTCATACCAGAAAATAAACATGGCAGGAAGGAGTCTGCACTACAACAGTAACAAGAGCTCGCACCCCCTAGCCCGTGCTTTCTTACTCTTGCCGGGTTTGACTTTTGATTGGCATACTCGATTACTGACCCTGCAGTTGGCCCTCAAGCAAAACTCCCACCAAAGGCGATGGATGCTCTGTCTCCGTCAGGACGTATAATCGGACTCTGTGTCACTCCTAAAGCAAAGGTCTCCAATGCCAGGCAGACAAGCACATCCAAAGTTATACACTAACTAGGTGTATAACACTAAGTTATACGCTAAGATATCTGGGCACGAGGCTAAGATAAAACATATCATAGTTCCAGTGAGTTAACGTGTCTCAAACTCTCTTTCTGCCTGTGCCTCTCAGAGGCTTGCACTTGCCAATGAACAGAGACTTGAAGATGGGCGTGCTAAATTTTCTATTTAACCCACGAATCATTTCACCCATCTTTCCCAGGAGGCATAGGCTAACCCTGTGCATGATGTTTAACTATGCCAAACCAGGGTAAGTCTAGGGAATGCTTTATTGCCAAGGTGAGAGTAAGGATTATAAAATGTTAATAAAAAATAAAATATATGACATCCATATGAACAAAGCAGAAAAGTACTGATTCAACAATTTAAACAGTACATTCACATACAGCTAAAACCTCTGAGCTCTGTGCAAGCCTTGAAACGTACAGTTACTTGGGTCTGCTTCCATCTTGTGGACACTGTTACCTGTTTTCAGCCAGCACAGGGCAAGGTAACCGCTGTCACTCACTATAAGCACAGCAAACGTTATCATGATAACTAATGACTATTGAAATATCATGAAAGAGATTAAAGAGATTATCATCGGGGGGGGGGGAAGGGGGGGAGGGAGTCTCACAGTTTTCAGGCATGAGCCAAAACAGTCCTCCGACAATTAGATAAAATTCACTGAAATCAAAACCCACCAGGGACGATGGCAGTCATTCGTTAAGCTGGTCATTTTAATTTATCTTTAGAGAGGAAGAGTTGGGAGGACACACCAACTAAAGACAACATTTCCTGGACCTTAAGGAAAGGAGTCACTAAGAACAGCTTGCCAGTAGCAAAGGTAACGATTATAGTCAACATCAAATGCCCTTGCTCCTAATGTGGACAGAGGCCTGAATCCATCTGTCATAATCCAAGGATTTTGAAGAACATGATGTCAACAATTTTTAAAACTCTCTGCTGCGTCTTTTACGATCTCAGTAAATCTTGGCCAGATTTCCAGGAACTGGAAAGCAAGTTACTAGCAAGCAAGTATAATTCAGACAAGATACACCTGCGATGACAATGACAGAGAGGATAGTCACGAATAACTCATTCAAAACCATCCATTTCTTTCTGCTAAAAATATCAGTACAAGGATTTAGATTTTCTTAGGAATGCTGATTATGTTTTATAGAGATTTAGTTTCCTTATTTGTTTCTCACCTCAGAACTGAAATCAAAGCTATTGCTTAATTATTAATTGGTCAGATGACATATTTTACAGTTAAATTTACTTAGCTCTAAAGATGCTAGTTTCAACAGGCATTAGATTACACCTATACCAGAGTCTTACCAATTTAAGGCATCAGTAACTAAGGCATTTAAGTGCATCATATTTAATAATGGTATGTTCACAGGAAGCTCATATGATACTTTTCAGGAGAGGTGAAACAGAACATGAGAATTGACTTATCACAAATCGCTAACGTAACTAAGGTCACAGAATAAAAAGTCAACGAAAGCAAGATGACATGCAGTGAACGACTTCGTTACAGCACTTGTAATATTCTATTCCTCTGAAGTGCTCAAAGCCCTTACATAAACATTAACTAAGCCTTGTATCAACACTCTTTTTATTTAGAAGACGACAGAGGGAAAAATAACTTACTGTGGCAAAGTAAGTTAGGTTCTGAGCTCAACCTAAGGCTCATAGGACTTGATTCAGCTACCCACGCATAGGTGGTCTCTAGTGCAGTTCAAGAGGCCTTCAGGTACTCCTCTGGGCTTCCAGCTGCTGTCCCTGAAGGGAGAGGTCTCCCACTGATCCCATGTCATACTCGCCAGCTATCTGGGATGTGTTCAGTAATTTAGTCATTTAGATCTTTTTGAGGTGCCCTATCTGTGAGCAATTGTATTGAGCATCTAATTTTGTGTTTTTGTTTACCAATGTATCACAAGATCAGTTTCAACTAAGCTGCTTGAGTTTTTGAAGGAAATAAAGCAGACAAAAGCAAGAAATGCTATGGTATAAATCACACCTTCAAAAGAGGAGCAGTTTCCAAATGGAGCGGCCTAAAACTAGTTTTCCAGGCTAAACTACTGCTTACAGATTAAATGACTGTTTGTAGAGGTATCAAAGAAAAAACGCCCAACTTCTAAAGGTCGCAGAACTCTCTCACTGACTTAAATGACATTTGGGGATGCTCAGCCCTCCAGAAAAATCAGACCACTTATAGCACCTATATAGGAGGTGACAGCAGCAGCAGTTCTTGAATCTTTGCGCTGTTTGGGAAAGCTTGGTCTCTGGCAGAATGCTTTGCAGGCCTGTAGGTCTTACCGACATTCTCCAGTTAGCAACATTAACTTCTGTGTGCAGGGTTTCCTGCATGGTGGAAACCACAAACAAAACTGGGTCTGTGTCTTGTGTTAGACAACTGTCACAGTGTTGAAAAGCAAGGTAAGAATAAGGCCTTTTTCATTTAAAGCATACCACGTTGATCACCTTAAGCATGACCTGGACAAATTCCTTACCAAGGCCAGGTAATAGACTCCTACTGGTACAGCGTTTTTAATACCAGCTCCCAAGACCTAATCAACTCTCTTAACAAAATTCTGGCTCACACCTGGCTGAAAATTAAAAGCCAAGGAGTTAAACAAAGCCTAGGAAAACCTTAATCAATTTAATCAAGCAAAACCAGTGAAGAACTGAGTTTGGTCAAGTTAAGAGTTATCACTTTCTTCTCAGGAAGACAAAAATGCTGGTTTAAGAAACTGTGTTATAACCATTTTATGCAGTAATTTTTGTTTCTTCATTGCTCCACCAGAATTGGGGCTCAGAACTGTGAGGTTTACTTTCTTTTTGCATCCATAGTCTTCTCCTTCGCCTTACAATTTTAACTTTTCGGGTGCCTATTTTATTAATTCCTAGAACAGGAGCAGTAATGCTAGATGTTTCTAAGGAAACCATTCAAAATGCACGTGACAGCACATTACTGACTTCATCTCATTCTGACTGACTGAACACATGGCTTTTAAGGTAAATTTAGATTCAGACTTCACTTTAGTCATTGAGTTGAAAATATGGGGGCTTATTTATTTATTAACCTCAGCATTAATCCACAGGCCAGGCTTTCCCTTCGGTTATATTCACACAGCTGAGCCACTCCAGGCTGGAAGACCGTATTCCAGCAAGACCTTTTTGTGAAACTGAGACAAATACATATGACGTAAGAAACGTAATTTCTGTTGTCCTACCTGCACAAGCGGAGCCCTGGACCACCTTGACTGAGCAGTAAGCAAAATATAAAAATATATATGTATGTCTGGAGAGGCGGGAAGTAGTAGGTACAAGCAGACATCTAAGCAGCAGAATGAACAGCATTGCCCTGTATTTCCTCGGCAAAAGCAACAGGTTTCAGATCGCACAGTTCTGTTAGACACCTGCACCTAGGCAGCAGTAAACAAGACCCATAAGGGTCTCAGAAGTTGATCTGAAGCAAAAAGTGCTTATGGACCGTCTATACATATTAGTACAGCAAGCAGCTCACGCTAGGTTCCTCTCTTTCAAATCCCATAAGTACTTTTGTGTGACATCAGTCATGTCACGACGAGATGACTCCAATGACAGAAAAGGAAAAATGACTTCATAGGTTCCAATCCACCAAAGCACTTAAAGAGTCACATTAAGGACATGCAACTAAAGAGCCTAAATGAGTGCTTAACTGCAGTCATGACATGTTACTAAGGAAAAACACCACTCAACCTGTCAAACAGTGCCTCAGTGATATACCACTTATTTTTCTTCCATGAAATTTTGTAAATATATAATGTTTCTCTCTGCATTTCTGCTCAAGATGTAACTACCTCCTCAAGTCCATGGTAGAAAAGGGTACCATCTTCACACTGTACAGGTTCCAGAGGTCCATCAGTTTATTTATCAATTTGAATGTCCTAAAGGCTAAGTTGCCATGTCAGGCACTTCTTTTTCTTAAATATTATGATGTCAGAGCTCATATGGAAGAACTTTGCTCAAAGAAGGGAAAGTCATTCTCATGGCCTGAACTTGCTCTTTTTAAGCATTTTAATCATGGGTTTTTAAACTAAGCGAACATGCAATTTCAATAGTATTTTTATCCAAGTACAGAAATGCAAGACTGAACCATGCATTCAGATTCTTTTCCTTTTAAATTGTCCTTACGTTTATTTTAATGTTCAGGTGGTCACTTCTTGAATATTGACCTCTCTTGTTTTTAATTAAAGCAGGGCAGGACAAACCTGACAATAGGCAACACAGCAGTAAATGCACAGCTAAAACGACAGTTTGAAACTCTTTGTTTGGGGTGAAGCTGTGCAGATGCTCAAAAATATCGAAAGCCAGAGCAATTGGACTGCCAGGTCCAATGGCAGATGATAAAGGAGCTCAAGCATGTTTCTACTCCGCTGCAGGCAGAAGTGACTGAAGGGTTGAGATGATCCCAGTGTGGAGGATGCGGACTCTTGTCTTTCATGCAGCACATTTAGATAAGAGGTACAAATTTCGAGTTGATTCACCATCAACCATTGCTGCCACCACTGATGAAATACAGCTCCTAAATTTGCCAACGCATCTGAGAGCAGAGAACAGAGACAGGCAGAACAAAAGGAGCTCCAGACATGGCTTACTGCAACTAATTTCAGTGAGTCCAGAATCAGAAACTACTGCTCAGAAAGAACAAGTGCTTTTGTTTCTTACTTCACTTTATTTGACATTAAGAGCCACTTCAGAAGAAATGCAAAAGTAATGCGTTATGATAGTCATCCTTCCCGACTATCTCACCCCTTATGTTTTCTTCGGTATGTTATTGTGCGTACAGCATTCAGGCAAGGTAATATAACATAAAAGCTAAAGTTTTCCACTGCAGCATTTTTGTGTCACTCCTTTTCCTTCAGTTGATTCTCAAGATCTGATCTTTGATCCCATCAGAAATTAGAAAGGACAACTGCTCCATTGGCATGGGACATATTCCAACATTAATAGAGCAGACTTCGTTATGAAAAATCGTAAGGGCCTATTGAATAAAGAAATGACTAAAAGCCTTTAGCTGATATAATGCTCGCACACTTCTGACCTGGGCAAAACACCACAACTTCTACTGGGCTGCTGTATAGACATCTGCGTTACGTCCCATATATTACTTTTCCTTTTGGCAAGCTTCTCTCCTAAGTGGTACTCGTTTAATCCCTCAAGTCCATAAAAGGTCAGGCTAAGCGTTTAAACTACGTGAATGCAAGCGCTGGTCTTACTGGAACAACTTTCATCCTGCTGTTACGTAATTGTCAGTAATGCCGGATTGTGAGTTATTCTGGGATGTAAATTACACAAGTACAAGCCACCTTTCTGTAGGCTACACTAAAACCATCCTAGCGTTTAACTAGTTGAAACCAGCTTTTTCCAGCTAGGTGGAGACACAGTATTGATATCTCGGTAGGATTACCTGAGGTGTCTTAAATGATTTAGGTCACAGCTTCAATTCTACAGCTGTTTATAGCTTTCAGCACAGAGTTCTGTTTTATCCTAGAAAGGTCCTGTAGTTAAAGTGACCAACAGACATCAAAGGCCTGTTTTCAGTTCCAGGTCAGCCCTGACTTAAGAAAGTGATACCCCAATTGTTTCTTAGGAAAAAAAAAAAAAGATCGGTCAAAGTTCATAAAAAGAAAACACTCTCCGTTTCTTGTACCTGGGCTAGAAGAGAAGAGGAAGCAATTGCAAAAATTCCTTTGCTCTTAGCAGTGCAAAAGATACCTACTGCTAGGCCTCAGAACTGAAGTAACTGCTTCTGCACAGGTGTCAGAGAAACTGATGTTCACCAGAGGGCAAGTCAGAGCATCCCTGTTAGACCCCTGCTCCAAGGCATCCTCCGGAGAAGCCTGTCCTTCCCCGGCTGTGCGGAAGCCTCTCCAGGGCATCTCATGTAGGTGCCTGAAGCTGATGCCGTCAGTGCTGCGGGCTGAGGGAGAGAAAGGACAGTCCTGCCAGCCCTTGAGACACAAGAGCAGGTCAGCGTGCTGACACAGACGCCCAGCTCGGTGGTAGACAGCGGTGTTCACATCACTGCCCTGCCCTACGTATGCTTCTATAGGACCAGTCTCTCTCTCAGCCTGTGTAGGCCAGTCCCCTGCCTCAGCAAAAGCTGCTGCGGGAAAGCCCCAGCAGGCCGGCAATTAGAGTGCTGCCCAGGAAACGGCAGAGCCACCTTCCTCCTCTACCTGTACAGGAGGGCCTGGCAGCTGGATTTCCCACGCTGTGCCTTAAGTGCAGGGCAATCCTGGGTCAGGTACTTACTCTGATTTATTACAGAAAATTTTAATTTAAAGAGGTATTCACTGTATTCTGGTGTGTATTGGCAGGTCTAGTATATTATTGCAGCAAAACCACATTCCATCTAGTTCTGGCGATATTATTCATGCCACACAGAATATTTATCTCTCTCCTCATACAAAACTTCAGATTGAGTCAGAACCCATGCAACTAAAAAGCAAGCCAGAACACATGGTTTCCATCCATGGCTGCCAATCTTGGCTTTATTTTTATACGAGCTTGACTTACAGACTTCACATCTTAAACCACGTCCCCCTTGTGGTGTACAGGTGTGCAGAACTGCCCTTAGACTAGGGGTTTTCTTAATATTGCCAGAGTAAACCGTGTGTTTCTTCCTAATGCTCCATTACCCAGAGCAAACCTGCCTCTTTCTATCTCACTGCTTTAGTCCTGTATCACTCTATGCTGTAGAACACAATCATTTCCAACCACAAATCAAACAACAAAATATAAGGGAAAAGAAAGCATGTAGTAAAGCTGAACTTCAAACTGACTGCGATAACAAAGATCCCATCTTAAAGCTAAGAACAGCTTCAGGTAACATATACTGGGATAAAAGTAGTATATCTTAAGAGAGATACAATATAGCCATGCAGGGAATTGAGTTAGGTTAAGCTTGCCAGTTGTCCACTAGAGCCCCTTTAATGCCTGTCACAAAGCACGAGGTAAGATGGTTTTTATGCGATTACATAATTCGTATCCTGTATCTCTACATTAGCAGTTTTCCTGAATGATCACACTGAGGGACACCTTAGACTTTTCAGTCTCAAAATTCTTCAGAAAGATTATTTTTTTCAAAGCTTCCAACATTCAAACTGAGACAAACTGCATCTCTGAAATCACGTTTGTTGACAAATAAGATACAGTTCCATTCACGTCAAGAGCCAGTCTAGGGAACAACTGATGAAATGATGAAAATGATAATGATGAAAAAAAGTCAGGCCCATGAAGTTTTACAGGGACAAGATTTCTATTTTTGTTATTTTCTCTTTAAAAGCAAAAGCATATAAAAGTTTGGCCAATGTTATGGAAAAGAACTGAACAGATTCAGCCTCCCCAGTTTACCTGTGGGCTTAGGGGAGTGCTTACATCAGAGAAAAGTTTGGCTCAATAGCAGAAATATAAACCGAACTCCAAGGGATCAAGTCTGCTATTACCTTATGCTATTAATTTTAACATACAACGTTGCGGTTATGAAACCATTATCAGAATAATTAGTTTGGGGCTTGTTTTTTTGCTTGTTTGCTTTAAGTCTGTTAAGTTACTCCTCTTCCCAGTAAGTGAATTACTCATATTTATCATGGCCTGTGAAGCAGGGAATTGAATCAGCCAATTTTTCAGATGAGCTCAGGACTAGGTTGTTTGGGTTAGTTATTCCAAACATCAGTTTAGATTAACTTCTGTTTGGGAATGGAGTAATAATGATGTTAACTGGTTTTGCTTCTAGTTCAGTGAAAAAAATGAAAATACTGGTTCAAGTTCAGGTCTGATTTGGTAAAAAGGAATCGCAATTCAGACTAGTTTTCAGTTGGATTCCCTTGTTAAAAATGTGAGGAGCCCCTGCAGCCGATCCCCTTGTAACAGTATTTTTAGAGCGCATACTTTAAAAGCTTTTTGAAAAAGCATTTTTATAAGCATTCCACTTTTCTGCTGTTGGTGATGATGTCCAAGACTACATGAAAGCCTTTGGGAAAGCTTCATAGAACAGCCAGAATACTAACACAAGTCACTGTGGACACATCTCTTTCCCCAAATAGCTTTCCCCCACTAATCTATGCTTGACTGGCAACACAGAAATTATGTACTTAAGCAAAAGAAGAAGCCCTTTACCAATCAGCCAAGGTATTTTCAGCATGCCAAAGATGCTGGGACAACCTGCCAGAGGTTCACGCGCAAGAAACACAAGATTTCTTCATCACAGTGAATCCCTTTCTATGGGCCTCTTTGCACCAGGGTGAATTTTGTTTTTTACTTCTGTTATTAAAAACAAAATCTTCAGTGCAAAAATCAACTCTAGCAACAGCAAGAGCTGGAGAAAGGACTGAGCAAGAGGCTTTAGAAAGGGAAAATGACTTACCCACATGACCAATCACTGCAGGAGCTGACAAGAGGGAGAAAAAAAAAATAAAAAAGATATAAATAAATAAAAAGAGAGAGAAAGGATTACAAAATGTCCCAACTCAGCCTTGCTGTTATCATCAGACAGAATAAAATGCAAGGCAAATGCAGATACTCACCCACCCATCGCTTCCTTTGTATAGGACAGTTTCTGGAAAATAAACAAACAAACAAATCCTAAATATATTTGAGAAACATAAGATGGAAGGAACTGAAATGCAGTTTATACCACTTTCTTCCTCCCCCCCACCCCCCTTGGCCAAAATAATTCTTTTTCCTGTGTGCATATATTTGCTAAGTTCAAAATCTATTAGCAAAGCCCTTGGTGAAAACAGAACACACTCTACGTTTCCCAAATACAACTGGTGATTTCAGAAACCCAGCCACAGACACTGCACAGAACATTCGGTTTGTCAGAAGATGCTCTACATCTCCACACGGACAGCAAATGCTCTGCATTTTCTGAAAATCAAGTCTCTCTAAGTCTCTTCAGCTGAACACCCAACATCACTATATACCTTTGAAAATTTACACTTAGAGCTTTTTAACTTTCCTCTTGTACAGCTCTAAGGGAAATAAACCAAACAGGTCAAAAACGGAGCCAGAATATAGTGACGAGATTCAACCTCTCTTATCTCAGTGGTAGGCTAACAGTAAGATCCTTTTCAGTAAGAGATCTTAAGAAATGCGGCGTTTCTTCTGCTACACATCTGTAGACTTAAAGCCATCTTTTTAAAAATACAGTTACAGCTTAAATCACGTAGTAGGATTAATCTGATGACTTACTTTGGGTTATAAAAGGGACAGGAAAGACATTTTTTTCATTTATTAGTGTATCAAGGCTAAAGCAGGGCTACCCAGTTCAGTATTTTCCAGATTCTTAATCAAAATCCTCATAATATTAGTGAAATTGGTTCTAGAGAGGGGTTGAAAGAGTTTCTGTGGGTAACTTCAGAAGTAGTGCAGGAAACCCTGAGCAGTTTGTAGCATACTGATAGCTGTTGAGGAGTAGTGCTAGAGCCTGGTGCTATACCATGTAGGCAGAATATAAATTATTTATAGAAGAGTGTTGTCTAGAAAACAAAGTTTGTTCTTCTCCCTCTCTTTTGGGAAAAGGGCTTGGGGGCTCACTTATTGGGTTGGCTTTCTTCGTGCTATCAGTGCAGATATATTTTCAGTAAAAACACAACCCAAAGTGGGTCAACTCAAACGCCTACTGTGAAGTCAAATTACAATAAACTTAACACACAGTATTTCCCCTGTGAAAACTCCTCTGCAAAATATCCACACGTGTTTAATGACCTAAGGACTGACACTCTATGCTCCCCCGCTAATTTTTTTTTGTGAAATAGGAGTGAAAAAGGGAAAAGAGACTTTCCAAGCGGGCTAGCCTGCTCATCCTTTTAGCCCGTGTTTCTCAGGAGGTGCAGGGGTGTAGTCTTCTGTTGATTAGGAACCACAGCAAAGTCTTTAACTTTCTCTTCTTTCCAGGACATCAGTGGGCAGTAAGTGTGATCACAACTGGAGAAGAAGGGCTAGAATGGCAGCCTGGACATCAGGCTGGCTGAAACGCTCTCAGTTCACTTTTCTGTGTGTTCTTTGGCCAGTCTTAAACGTACAAGTTCATCAAATGAAGTATTTGGAGATAGCTTAGTATGAAGAACCCAGACGTAGCGAGACCAGTTGTAAGCAACAAACAAAGAAACCAGCATGACCAGGTAGTCCAAGAGTGGCACGTCTAACTCGGAGCCAATAAAACTGTATTGGAAACTTCAGATATTCCTTAAGGGGTTGTCACATTGCTCTATACAGTGCCTGTACTCAGCTTCAAAGCACGGTGATCTGCAGGGAATTCAGAGACTGGTTCCTCCTCTCCAAGCTTTTAGAAATTTATATTCAATAAGTAACCCTTTTGGTAAGTGGTATTTGCTTATTAGAAGAGGGGCCTTCTGTCTGTATTTAGTCATAACAGTTTGTAGGTGCTATTAAAAACAAACCTGGCTATCTCCCAACATCTTTTTTAACACTGCTAGTCAGTACCCAGCACCTTTACTCACGAGGCCCCAAAGGCCACTGGCAGCAGCAGCCAGTATAATCGCACCCACTTTGCAGAGCGAGGAGATGGAGGTGCCTCGGCCAAGGCTGTGCCACAGGGCAGCACTGGAGCGCTGGCAGCACCCAGCTTTCTGAGCCTGAGGCCAAGGACTTACCTGCTACGTCTTGCTAGGGCCACATCTTCTATTCCTATAAATTTTAAGGATTAAGAACTGACCAAACCTGAGATGCCACATTATTACTTTAATGGCCAAGGCCTAGAAATGCAAACGTGACACACCCTCTCTCCATGTCTACATTTAAAAAGCCTATCAAATTACTCAGCTCTCATCCAATTTCGTAGTAAACTAGCGAAGCCTAATACTGCATGATTGGCTTTGAACGACAACCTCCGCACGGGGTGGCTGGATTACTCCTTAATTCACCTAGTTCCAGACAGAATATTATCTTCTCATTGTAAATCAAGACTTTTGCAAATGACAGTAAATTTAAAGGAATACATGCTTTAAGCGACTGTTTAAATGACCTGACTTCAATGTTCTTTCTCAGACAAATATCATCCCACTAGATTCAATAGCAGTTTTGTTTGAGAAATAAGGGTTTGTTTTAGAATGCTGAATGTTTGTTTCAGCTGAGGATGTGAAAATGAAGCATCCTCCCATTGCAAAGCTGATACGGTCTGCAATATTTTGTAGTGTGATTGCTCTCCTTTCTCTTAAATGTCTATTTTTCATTCCAGTCTGGGGCGAGGACAAGTACTGACATACTGAATTTCATGGCAAACAGACACCCTTTTGCCCTAATTAAAAGCCCAGGGCGCTAGAGCTCTAATTTTGGCTCTGTTCCTCATTTAGTACAGAACAGCCTTTGGCAAATCATCTCACCCCTCTGACTCAGTTCCGTCATTTGCAAGATGAAGTTATAAACGTGTTCCTACCTACCGCACAAGGATCTGCAAGGATTAATTAACATCCCTACCCTTTGAATACTTGAAGTGATCTATAAATAGCTGTGTATAGTAACCTCACCAAAGCCAGAGGGGACGGCTTTCACTCAGTGAAGCTGCCTCTGCAGATGCTTTGTATAAAATTAGTTTAATCTGCTGAAGTGAGACTTTCGTAATACTATTACACCCACTTTTTAAAAGCTGGCACTTGGCACTACTGTTTCCCCGTTTCAATGGACTGCGCTTACTTTTATATATCGCAGAATTATTGCAAATAATAAAACTCCACAGCATTAAACAGAGACTACAACAATCACTGAATCACAAATAGTACTGACTGGATGCATGAGCTTCTGCCAACATACAAACCTGCAAAAAAGCAATCATATAGGATACTTGTCTGATCCTAAGATATGATCCTTATGCACAGAAGACAAAATATCTTTCTTGGAGATAATTCCAGACAGGGGAAGAAGGTGGAAGAAATGTCAAGGAGATTTTAAATAATCTCATATTAGTTTAATCCCAGCTGCGTAGGACTGTATCAGGTATGTTTGATTTAACACAGCTGTACACATCATTTTCACCAGAAAAGTCATATCAAGAAACAATTCCCTCCTTGCCTGCCCCGATCCCCCACCTCAGTGTGCTACAGCACTCTCAGCAGCAGCGCAGCACTCTCAGAGGCAGGGGAGGGATTCAAGGAGGTGGAGGGCAATGTCTGGACCCAAAGCTGGAGGGAAAGGCCAGAATGGAGAACGGTGCTCTGAGGGACAGCCCTGACAGTGTGGTCTGCAGTGAGCAAGAGGAGGACTTAGAGGAAGAGAGATTGTTTTAGCCACACTCGGTTCGAAGTGAAGGCTAGAGATCCACGGGAAAGCGTCAGAGGCCAGCTAAGGACCCAGTCTGTCCAGGAGGAATCAGCTCCACAGCAGCACAGCAATGATTCCTCAGTCTGTGTCCGTAGGCAGTCCTACGTAGAAACAAGGTACAAAACAATGAAAGCAAAGAATAAGATCTGCAAAGAAAAGGAGCTGATCGGACAAGGACGATGAGGATGAAGTACTGGCTCTGAGCTCCCTGCTGAAAGTTTCTGTGATGTGCCAAGAGTCAAAAAGAGACTGAAAAGGAAGATTTAGGCTGGAACTGGAGGAGAGTAAGCAGAGAGAGAATTAACACAGAAAGAGCTTAACAGGTGAAAAGGAGATATGGCAAGATTCGGAGAAGCAACAGGGGTAGGTTCATTTATTTGCATGTGTGTGGCATGGAGACTAAAACACACTTCCAGTGCAAAAAGAAAGAGCCAAAGTCAATAGGAGAACAGTTAAGTGTGGGGATAAGAAATAGGTGAGGGAAATCTGAAAGAATGGCTCAAAGGAGAACAGCGGAGGAAAATCTGTTGTTCCTGTAAGCAGGCAGGGAAAGAGATTTGAAAGAAAGCAGAAGAGAAGGTGACATTTCTTCAGATTTAGTAGAGACTGGAGATGTCCTGTGCAAAGAAAAAATTGTAAGATGTCTGAGTCGGAGTGATCAAAAAGGTACTGGAGATTGTGAATAGAAGATCCGATTAAACCACAGAAAGACACGTGCTTAGCAAGGAAAAACACAGAACAGGAGGAGGAAAGACAGCAGCTTTCTGCTCACAGGAACCTTACACAGACAAGATCAGCTACAGCATGAGGTGGTCAGAAACTGCTGCATTGGGCGTAAGTGGTTACAAACAACTCCCTTCACTGGAGTGCTACATCCTCCCTTTTGAGACAGCTCAGAATTCAGGCAAAATGATGTTATTTTACATTGCCCAGTGCCCACTTCAGCAGGCAAAGGGGGTATTTTGATATGCTATCCATTAAGGCAGGCTAAGGCAGAGCTGCCTACTCCCCCTTTTATCTTAGTCTTCTTCACTGAGCAGTTGGTCTGTGCTCTGAACACACTGAAACAAGTAGAGCTGCTGATGGATTGAAAAGTCAATACTAAACAAATGTACTGCAGAGTTAATGCAATTGCAATTTTTGTTCCCTGGTCCAGCAGCTTCTAAAGTTGTCCTTTGGTAGGTAAGTACCTCCTGTTACTGTCCTGGTGATTCCTTGTTTTCTTGTCTGTGTTTTATTTCTGAGACAAAGCTGTATTGCAAACGCCTTTCAATGGCT